ATTTTCTTATATTCTCATTTTTACAGTGAAATATTAAAATAGTAATATTTATTTTTTCATTTTATTTAATAATTTTTATATTTATATTTAGTAGTAATCCTAGTAATATTAATTTTGTTGGTTGATGTATTGCCATATCAGCATTATGTGGCAAATACAGATTCAACATTCAACAATATAATATAATAAATACAATAAAATAAATAAAAACATTTTATAAAATTAAATTTTTGAAATTCAACTTTTGAAAGGACATTTGTCCTGATAAAAATCGTTGTCTCATGACATTAAAAATTGGGCCAAAAACGTATGTTTTACAGACAAGTCAGGCATATTGATAAATAATCACAAAATTTGGGCCAAATTGTGCAGCCCTACAAACAAGCACATTCGCCACATTTCCCCCCCAAAATTATGCAGCCCTGGGGAGGTTTATCAAAATAAAGCCTGAATGGTCCAAAACATCTAACAGAATGAACCACAGATCTTCAGAGACCAAAGATCTTCTTAAAATCAGAGCATCACTAAGGATCAGAGGTTTAGGAAACTCCAGGAAAGGGCTATAGTGCTGGAAATGATGATGGTGTAAAACTAAAGTCCAGCAGCACCAGAACAAAAGCAACAATACTGCTATTGTTCTGTTCTACAGAAGAACAATACCAAACCTTCACTCAAACTACAAGATCTAATCAGTGTATACAGTCTTATTCTTCGTCATGTGATCACTGCTTAACTCAAAACAACCCAAGAAGAAATCAACAGTGAACAACATCAGCTCAATGAATGATGGGCGATTCACTCACACAACCAACTATGATTCATTCACAGATCAGATCTTGTTGAATATCTATACTCAAACCTAGAGATCAGGCTCCTGATGCCTTATTGAATGCCATTGTATATCAAATCTGGATGTGGATCATCTTAAAATGGTCAAACACTGGCTGATTAGCTGATATAATCGGTTTATCATAGTACCAATATAACTTAAACTCCTGTTGAACTCATCTTATCATTTTCTAATCAAGTTAAACTACAACCAAACAGATCTTCAAATAATATACACCAAGAATTTATTCTCTAAACATTTAAAGTACAACCAAACAGAAGTAAAAAAAACAACATCTACAATGACAGACAACCACCGATGAAGCTCATACAAAAGCTTTTTAAGACAGATAATGCCGCACTCTCCGTACTGTATGACCTACAATCAACAACGTCATCCACAACAATGCAACGTCAAATGCTTTCATTTCTACTCTCAAGGTTATTGTGTTCAGCAGCACATATGCACACTATTATACAGGATGCATAAGCATTGACACTATTAATTTGCATTTAAAATATATAATAAATAGTAAAACATACAGCCAGGATAATCCATAGGAGTTTAGTTTACCAGTTTAGCAATTATCAATGCATCTGTAGAGACTATCAATATAAAACTGCTGTTTAAATGGTCTTTCTGTACAACAAGCACAGTAATATGAGAATATGTTGAACATGCGAGATATGAAACGACCACAGTCTTTTAACTACAGGCCCACAAAACTCAATTACAGCCGGAAAGGGAGAGACAACACACACACCGATGTCTCTACCTCTCTCACACACTCATGATATGATGTGATCTGAATCCCAATGGAATGTGATGAGATTCGGCAGCTCTGATTGGCTGAAGAAGCAGGAAGTGAACACATTCCAACTCACACAGCACCACAAACGACCAATGAGAAGCACAGACACTGTCGGACTGAGCCAATCAGAATCTTAGTTCATGATGAGAGCAGCAGGGATTGGATAAACAACGGTGGGCGGCTAAAACAGCCCTATCAGCACTGCTCTATGAGACAAACAAAGCCTCTCTTGTCAAGGAATAGATTTTATACAACAAGAGGTGAAATTACATAAGTGCATAATGATGTTAGTGTTCACAGTATACATCATCCCTCATCATAAATTCATTTTAGTCAAATGTAATTGCAAACCAAAATGGTGAAGAACATGAAGCTGTCTGTGAATGTTTGAACATTATTTAAAAATGTAAATGAATGTTACTTAGGAAGTAATATGATAACAATCCACGGAATGTATTTACATTTCAGAGCATGTTGAGCTATGCAACACGAGTCAGCAAAACAGCCATTATGTGTCTGACAATCTAGACAAAACTCAACCTCTTTGAACTCCAAATTTTTTTTATACAAAGCCACAACATTTACCACTTTTATGCAAAATTAACATGTATCGTCCAGTTCTTAAAATAGTTCTACTGTATACAGTTAACAGTCTTTGCACTATTTTAGGTTTACTAATTTTTTCATTATTTAATTTCATTATACGTTTATCTTTTTATATATTTTATACACAGTCTAAGAAGCTGACAAGATTAATATTTCATTGCAGGTTGTATTCTGTATATAACTGTGTATGTGACAAATAAAAATCTAGAATCTTCATGACTATGAGACAAATTAATTAACTCTAATAAGTTTTTAATTGCTTTTTCGTATAGAGCTTTTAAAGTTCTCTCATCAGATCTGACAGTCCAGCCATCATCTGCAAACATGCCCACAATTCTCACCAAACCTGCCACACACACACACACACACACACACACACACACACACACAGGACAGAATGTAATCTTTCACATCTAATCACACTGAATCCACTGCTCTGAGATTGATTGAGTCAGACTGAAGCGTTACAGATACTGTAAGTGTATACAATTTAGCATTTATATTATTAACCTTATGACTTGTTTAACAGTTTTAATGAAGAGTGAAATTGCTCTGCTATATGATGCTCAGACTGACATGTGCCTGTGTAGACATGTCTCTCTCTCTGTATACACACATACCTCCATACATCCTGAGAAATTCACAGTGATTTGTGAGACAGCGCCAATCCCTTTAAATATTTCCCCCTATATATTTAAAACTGACTGCAGTTACATCACTAAAACATGCATAAATCTTTGACTACAGCAATATAAAAAAATATAAATAACAGGACAGGAGCTAGAGCTAGGAGCTAGATTTAATCAGTGCTACAATTATGCAACCACAAAAAAAAAGAACTGTTAACATTCAAAAATTTAAGAGGTTTTCATTCATGAACAAGATATTTCACTCAAAACTCTTACATACCTTTGTGACAGCCAGCCTCTCTCGTCCATTATATATGTATATGTATGCAGATCTATTGCATTTAATCAAGTCATAATTATGCAACAAAGAATATGGCACAGCAAATGTGTCTGACCCTGATCTAGAATCGGATAATTATTCTGATTACAATGGCATGCACAGTCACAGCTAAATAATGCACTAATGCCCCAGTAAGAGATGAAGATGATTATATACAGCATGTAATTAGTACAATTATGCTGAATATAGCCTACCTGACATCCAAACTATTGGCCACAATGCTGGTAACAGCAAACAGAATAGACTAGACTCTCTGATAACTACTGCTTTATATGCCGAATCAGACAAATCCAGGATCTCATAAATTAACCGGACAGCTGAAGGTCAGAGAGTGAATGAATATAACAGACACTCTTAGAGGAATAGTTAAACCAAAAATATTCACTTACATCACTCACCAATGGATCCTCTGCAGTGAATGGGTGCCGTCAGAATGCGAGATCAAACAGCTGATAAAAACATCACAGTAACCCACACAACTCCAGTCCATCAATTAACATCTTATGAAGTGAAATGCTGTGTGCTTGTAAGAAACAAATGCATCATTAAGACATTTAACTTTAAACTGATACTTCTGGCCAAAATATGAGTCCATAATCTATAATAACGCTTCCCCGGGAAGTCCATCTCCTGTTGTCTCTCACATCAAAATCACCCACATATTCATTTAGAACTGTTTTGGCTTGTAAACGGTGCTTGATCTGTACAGATTTCTCTCCTGATTCAGACCAGATGACTTTTTTTTACAACAGAAGTCGATGTTGCAGATAGAGGAAGCAACAGAAGCAATGGTTTGAAGTTAAAAAGGCCTTAATGATGGATTCGTTTCTTACAAACACGCAGCTTTTGGCTTTAAGACATTTGTGTAATATAAAATTAAAAATGCAAAATAACCATTCAAAAAGATGAAATATTCAAAAAGCAGGGTTTGTCTGGTTAGCATGGGCCTGCTAATGAGCAATATTCTACTACCAAAACACATCTTTACACACCATAAATCTAAAAAAAAAAAAAAAAAAAAAAAATTCAGCATATTTTCATTTTGGGTGAACTACACCTTTAATAGAAATAATCAGTGCAGTTGGAAAAAGGGCCTATATATCACTAGTGTAAATGCAGCCCAACTGCGTGTCACTGCTGATGAGGAGGGTGAAGCAGCAGGGGAAAATCAGGGCTGTTTAACTGCATGCAGGCATATGTGTGTGTTTGTGGCCCTGCCCGTGTATGATGCAACCACACCGGAGATCGATGTGATATGAAACCGGTAATACAGTCCAGAACCGGTCAGCAGAATCCAGCTCTGAGACTGCAGGAACTCTCATGATGATCAAGATGAGGATAGTTATATAGACACCGACAGATCCCAGATCAGTTAATCACTTAACACTAACACATCTGACAGTTTATTCTCCAAAAATCATAACATTTGTGCCTTTATTGCTTTCAATTCGTTCTCTATTATGGCTGGATACTTTCAAAACAGCAACAATAAAACCAAAACACACACAGTGATCAGAAGAATCTGAGCTGTCATCAGGTTCAATCAGGACGCCAGACATCTGTCATTTCTCTGTGATCAAAGCGCCGCCGCCGCCAGATCAAACCGATACACATTCTATCAACAACAAAATACAAAGTTGCGGATCGCAGCTATTGTGAGGTGTTACAATGTAACGTTCCATCCGGTCGAGCGCTGTTACTACAGGCTGCGCTGAATACGCCACAGTAAACACCCCAAACCGGCGAGACCTTCAGATCTGCGGCTAAACACACGCAAATACTCACCGGAGATCTGCGATCGGGCCTGCGGGGATCGCCGGGTGTCCTCCGGGGTTAAATCCGCCCGGTCATGAGTGTTTCCCGTGGACAGAGACGTGTCCGGGAGGGAGAGATTAGCCTGCGTCCCTCTCTCACACACACACGCACGCTCGCGCTCGCAGGGATGAGAATGCAGGAATGTGACGTTTAGTCCGGTTTGCTGACAGGACGCGGGCACGTGGCAACCGGGGATTGTGGGAATTTGAGTTCAAAGACAATGGCTATTTTTAAGGAATATCTTGTTGAATGGTTATATTCTACGGTATCTTATCTCAATGTTAAATATTTTATTTTCTATTTCAGTTTATTTTATTTTTGTACTAATGTTTTGGAAATATTGTTTGTAAAAATAAAAGCCAATAAAGTACTTATAAATAAAATAATATTATATAAAAATGTATTTATCTATACATTTATATATCTATAAATAAAAAGTAATTATTTAATAACAAGAATAAGTATTTTATTATAAAATGTCAGTCTAACTTTTAAAAAAATGTTTGGACCAAAAGTACTATGGTACGACTTTTTGTAGTGTCATAATATTTTTTCCCTTGCTAAAATTTGATATCATGGCATTTTCATTCATACTGTAGTACTAAAGTTCATTTATTTTATATTTTATTATATTTGACTTTATTTGTAATATGGCAGTTTGATGTATACCATAGTACCAACATGTATATATTTGATGTTTTTATTATAAATGTATTCATCTATAAATCACCTGTGAATGATGCCTAACATATAAAGAAAACTGTTGTTTTAAAAAAAAATGTTAATTGACATTTTAAGTAAAATTAGGTATTAAAATAAAATTGTCATTGTATTATCAAACTGGTGGTCTAATTAAACGAAATTGTTTCAAAAGTACCATGGTACATTACTTTTTTGGTGTATCACAGTTTTCACTCCCTTACTTTTAGTATTTTGATAATACTAAAATGTATTTACCATGGTATTTATATGATACTCTAGTCTAAGGTATTTCCAAGAATACCACAGTGTTATCAAAGTTAATTGTCCAAAAAAAAAATCACTAGAGTACCAAGGTACTCTAGTTTCTAAGGAGAAAACTAAGGTATTTTTATACACAGAGCATATTCAGTCGCATAATAGCACATATTAGATGGCATATAAAAGTGCATCAGTGCAGCCAACATTTATCAATATCTCTTTCCTTGTTTTCTGATGCCCCCTAGCGATCATAAATATCCTCTGTCGCACTCTGTGGATCTTTGTCTGTTCACTGTCGCCCTCTTGTGCAAGTTCAGTAAAAGACACATGGTTTTGTAATACTTGGCATTTGGGCTATTTAACTGGAACATATATTTCTTTAATTTATAATGAAGACATAACCTAATTATAGACGTAGCCAAAAAAAAAAAAAAAAAAACATCTAAACATTATATTTGTTGAGTTGCACTTCACTCCACTTTTTTTCTGTCTACGGCCCTGTTGTGGGGCATCATATGAAAGTAAACCACGTTGTGAGGAATAGTCTAACAGTATTTACAATGGCAAGGTCCTAGCTTAATTTCCACAACTCATAATTTTCAGAACTGTTTTATGGAGTTTTGTCCACCTTTTTTCGGAAAGACGTTTCGTAAGCTGAACAATCGGTGAGTTGTTGAACAACAATACTAGGGTTGCCAGGTTTGCAGAACAAAACTAACCCAAACAACAAAACAACGGCGATATCCCAACTATCAAAACTTTAAATATAATATACTATATCTATTTTATACAAATCAAAAACCACTATTTCATAGTTATCATAAACACCGCTCAAAGGCTCCATACCAGTGACCCTCCTTCACAAAACTTAACATCTAGCGCAGTTTTATCAATGGTAGGATATAAAATATCTCAATACAAGTATTCCAGTCAAATGTAATTCATGCAATATGTCAAACGTTTTACCCGCGGGGGAAAAATCAGTTTAAAAGTAGGCCAATTTCGCGGGAAAACCGCGGACTTGGCAACCCTGCAACAGCGCGATCCATCGAGCTGTACTTCAGTCCCTCACAGCCTCATTTTCATTCCCGTCAGAAATTAAATATGGCGCTTCCCTGACTATTATGTATTCTGAGAAGATTTTAAAAAGACAAGTGAAAAGTCGCCTCCCTCTACATGCCAAAAACACATGTTCACACGCACACACACAATTATCACTTTGTTTGTGAAGGTCATCGCATGTGATGTCCTTCTTCGACACCTTTCAGTCGCTTGGCCATTTTGGCGAGAACTGTTTTCATCAATAACAGCACTGCCAAGCTAATGTCTTACACACACACACACACACACACACACACACTGACACTCAGAAGTCTCCTGAAGTTCCACACTCTCCAGATGGCAATAACACTTTAGCTGTCGCTGTCAGAGACTAATTAATCTTCCTGGTGTGATCCATCTTCCTGCAGACTGCAGACTCTTCCTCCATCCTCTCTATCACTCCATCTCTCGCCCGGCCTGGACAGCCTGTCACCAGCGCAGGCCTCCACACACACCGGCCCCCGTTCTGTGAGAGCACCTCAAAATCTCCATTTCCTCCTGAGAGACTTCATGATGCCAAAAATCAGTAGCATCGAGACAGTTTTGCTAGTTTAAGTTTGTTGTTTGGTTGTTACTCACTATTACCCGTTGTCCTCTTTTCCTATTTGCTGCTTGACAATTACAAAAACACTTAACCTAAAAATTTGCCATTGCAACCAAAACGTCTGATAAAAATAAATAGATACAAAATAAACATTACAATAAACCAGTGCTATTTTAGTATCACTGATGTACTACTATAGTTTTTGTTAATATTTTAAATTAGATTTTATTTCTATATTTTGTTTTTAACTTTAATTTTCGTTTTTATATTTTTTATATCATATATTATTTTATTTTTTATTTTATTTTTATTTTACTTTTTATGGTTTAAGTTTTAGTTAATAGACAACAATAAAATGTAATTATTGTCAAACGGATAAACAAACAAACAAACAAGTATTATTTTAGTATTACTTATATAGTATTAAAGTTTTTGTTAGTAGTTTTAATTAGATTTTAATTTTATATTTTCTTTTTTTTTCATTTTAATGTTAGTTAAAGTTTTAGTGAATTTTGTTTTTTTATTTGATTATCTTTTATGTCTATTTATAATTTTATTTTATTTTATTTTAGTTATTTTAGTACTTCAACTTATACCAAACAAAAACGAGAAATGTTGCCTTGGCTGCTAGCTCAAATAAAATAAGTTTAAGTTTCTATTTTTTATTTTATTTTATATTTTTATTTTACTTTTTATGGTTTTAGTTTTAGTTAATAGACAACAATAAAATTTAATTATCGTCAAACGGATAAACAAACAAACAAACCAGTATTATTTTAACATTACTTATATAGTATTAAAGTTTTTGTTAGTAGTTTTAATTAGATTTTATTTTTATATTTTATTTATTTTTTTCATTTTAATGTTAATTAAAGTTTTAGTAATTTTTTTTATTTGATTATCTTTTATGTCTATTTATAAGTTTATTTTATTTTATTTGAGTTATTTTAGTACTTCAACTTATACCAAACAAAAACGAGAAATGTTGCCTTGGCTACTAGCTCAAACTAAATAAGTTTGTTTTTTACAATTTCATTTCAAGCAACAACATTTTTAATGGGTTTTGTTTTATCTAATGATAACAACCCTGCAATAAACAACAACAAACAAACAAATAAATAAATAAAACACAGCAAACCACTATATGAAGGAAATGCAATATTAATTTATGATTTTACAGCAGTAACAATAATTGTAAAATAAAACAAGTACTGTGGTGATATTATAGTATAACATGGTATGACCACTGTATTTTTAAATAAAAAATGATATTTTGGACATGTACAGTACCATGGTAGTATCATTGTATTCTTGGAAGTACCATAAAGAATTGTATTAGCACTGTACCATGGCACTGTCACCATAGTACTTTTCATTTACTAAGGTGCTATTGGATGTTCCATATGTGATTTACAAGCATGAAATGGTGCAGCTCAGATCTGGTGTGGCTCGGAGCCCGACTGTTTTATATCTGCCATCTGAGCACTGGGTTTGTTTCGGTGATTCAACACACTTTATTGTAATAGTCTGTCATTAGATGGTGAGTCACGCGGGCGTCGCGCCAGCCTGTGTGTGGGCAGTGGGCTCGGGTGGCACAATTTGTTGACTGTTTATTTGTCATGAACCTTTGCGTGTGTTCCGTTCAGCTGAGACACACAAACACACATTCCCACACAATACGACCACTACATGTGTGATCTGGGTCATTCCTAGTGTTGTAATATTTTGGATAATATATTAAACTGAATGTTTTTAAAGATGAAAATCATATTAGCTTGTTTTATCAGTGAACAAAAGGTTAAATTTCATTGGACAATGTAACGGTTTGAGTGGATGTTTTTCAGCATTATTTATTAATCAAAATATTGCAAACAAAACAGTAATATTCTTAGGAATACTGTTTTAAATGGTGCTTAATTTGACTTTCCATCATGTTAATCTTTAGTAAAAGCTCTTTAACTAATAAAAGCCAGAATTAGCAATGGATATGATCGATTTTGTGATATTTTGAGGTATTAGTTAATTTGTGTGACTAAAACATTCCATCCTGTTTTGTTAAATTACAGGAAAATGACAAATTACAGAATCATATAAATTCAATTCAAACAAATATATATAAATAACTAACTACAACTATATATATA